AGCTCTACAGTATCAGAGTTATCATACCTTTCATTTTTTCCTTAAGGGTAAAACTGCCATGAATTCTCTTCAGTTCCGATTCCATTGTTAACCCACCAATATCTGCCTCCAGGTGTGTGCGATTCACCATGCCAATCCCAAATACTATTAGAGTAACATGCTGAGGTTCAGCAGTAACCAAGCTACGTTTCCTCTGTGTCTTAGTCAAACTGTTGTTGTCTTGTTCGTTCTCAAAAACAACTTTACATGTTGGTTCTGTAGGACTCCGAACTCCTTTATAGTAAAAATATACAGGTTTAGGTATGAAAACTATGAAAGGGAAGAACATTTCAAACATTTTATTTTTCTTTTTTGCACATTCCAAATCATCTCATTTCCTCTTCTTCCCCACTAAAATTATTTAAAAATGATTTCAACATTTTCCCAAGGTTGTACTGAGAGTAAATTGCAGAGCCATATGTTTGAAAATCCAGTCTAAATTCTTAAGTAGTGTATAAGGGTAAGGGAGAACTGGAGATGGCATGGCAAAATATCTGAATGCTATTATTGTTTTCTCCACTTGGTGACTGACAATTTTTGTGCATTTCAATTATCCACTTTTAACAGCAGGAAAACATTATTACTATTCCAAATTGAAAATTTTAAAACATGAAAAATGTCTCTTACCTGCTGGCCCAAATGTTTCTGAAGATTTTTCCAATATTCCTGTTGGATCAGAGATAAGTGAATAGAAGTTAAGCAATTTATACATGTTCTGCCAGCACTCGGCCGAAGGCTCACTTTGCTCTGACACAGTAATTGAATCTGAGTCATCCATATGAATAGTCATGTGATCTACCACATCCTTTGAACCTTTCCTAGACACTTTTGAAGTTCTTCTTTCAGATCTTCCTAGTGAATTCTTGTTTCGTGATTCCTTTTTGTTATTCTCATTGTTGGTCCGTTTATTCTTTGCATTATTTACTCTATTGGCACCATTAAGACTTCCTCTAGAACTGCGGCTGAAGTCAGATGAGCGAAAATCCCGGTGTTTTCTGGTTTTGAAGGTAGGTGTCGGGGAAGCTGATCCAGCTGTATATCTGCTAAGTTTAATGTCAGTCTGAGTTGCTTTGATGTCATCTATCATTGTACTAAATTGATGAATAAGACGAACCAAAGCCATATCTACATGCTGGCTTATTGACTGACAGGAAATAGTAAAGTTGCAGTGGAAGGTATTGTAATAACGCTTGTTGAGGTCATGAAAAGAAAGGGCGCTGGTAGAGTTCTGAGGGGTGCACACTGACTTTTCCATTACAACAGCACTGATGCTAAAGGTTTCCAACATTAATGCTGGCTTGAACTCAAGTGGAGGAAGATTTACATGGCCTTGCCTAATAATAATAAAAAAAATAAGGTTTTCAGCTTTTATCCAGAAGAGCACAATCTTTATAAATTCATAAGCAAAATAATCTCCAAGTTGATATATGTTACAAACCACTTAAAAAACTTTTAAGTTAAGAGATCAAGTAAAATAGGCTTTTTCACAACAGTTATTTTTAAGCTGGAAGCTGGCCCTTAATTAGGTCTTCTTTCTTGACCTTATTCTAGAACTGACTAACCTAGCTTCTAATTACTCTTTTTATGAGCTCTGGTGGCATAGTGCCTAAGCCACTTGACTGCTAACCAGAAGTCTGGTGGTTCAAACCCACCAGCCATTCCTCAGAAGGAAGGTTGGGCAATCTACTTTCATAGTGATATTGCCTCAGAAACCCAAGAAGGGATCGCTACAAGCTGGGTCCGACTCGATGGCACATAACAACAACAACAACAACATGTTAAGAAATTATTTCAGTGAAGTGATAAAATTATTTTTCTTACTATGTACCCAATGGTACATCCCACCTCTGATAACATATCAGAGATTATAATCCTATTTATTATTTGTAGAGCGGTTTAAATTTCCTCAAAGTGTTTTCACATCTATCATATAACCCTTTGAGTATACAAGGCAAACAAGAAAGCTTGATAAAGTTAAGTGACTTAATTAAGAGCAGTGTCTAACAAGTTCACTGATGAGAAATATAGACTTAGAAGGTTCTTTAAAGATGGCCATCTAGTTCAGTTCTTAAGCTAATACTTAATTCCTTCTATATTTCTATCAAGTGGCTCTGTAATTGATGCCTGAACATTTTCAAACCTGAATTTTCTTTAATAATGATCTCTGTGCACTTCTTAATAAGAGACCTTATTGAAGCCAAACAAGCAAATAACCTTAACTATCCCCTCTCCTTTATAAAGCATATATTTAATTTCCTCATATTTCACGTAATTTTATTTCCCGTAAGAAATGAAAACCTTATGGCATATTTTGCCATGTTGAAAGTAATGAAGAAAGCAATTTAAAAAAAACATGAGAAACATACTTAAACACATTTAAAGCCATATATGCAAAATTATTTCTCAAATTTTGGTACATTTTTCTGCTTACTGAAGATTCCAAGGAGTGGCTGATGGGTTTGAAGTGCCAGCCTTCTGGTTAGCAGTCAAATGCCTTAGGCACTATGCTACCAGATCTCCCAAAGAATACTATACTCAATTTTTATATAAAAACAAAAAATGTATCAGATCACCATAAAGCAATGAACAATAAAAATAAGTCTCAACCACCAAAACTTAAAGTTATTTTTTTCCTTTATTTTCTCTTATGCATGTACAAGTGTATGGCTCAAATGAAATGTAGACATTTTTTCTATCAAAGAAATCAGAAGCTGCTTGATATTCTCAATTTGCCTTAAATAATATATAATTAAAGAAGAGAAACTCCCAAATGAATATTAATATTTATTATTCCATAAGAAAACCCATATTGTAGTATAATTCATGAAAATGCTTAAGTTAACAGGAAACCCACAATCAGTAGTAGCATGCAGTCAAGAGAAAGAAAATCTTAAATTTTAGAATTGAAACAGATAAATGTTGACCCAAAAGAGATTAAAATAGTCCAGAACTCAGTAATTAGCCCTTAAGCAAAAACATGAATCTAAAACAAGTAAGGGAGGCAAGGAAGTCTTAGAGAGGAGATTTACGTAAAGAAAAAAAAAAGAAAAATCTGGGTACATGATGAAGCAGTCATTTAGGGCAACAGCAGCCAGTCAGGAAAGGAGCTGGCATGGGTACTCTAGAGACAAAAGTTAAAATTTAAATTTAAAAATATTTATTAAGTCTATAAAATGTGCAATTATTTTGATTGAAGATAACAAAGAATAAGGAAACTAATATTTATGAAGAGTTACTACAAGCCAGACCCTACGCTAAATGATTTAGTAACTGTCCTGGCTTTAAAGTCCAGTAGGAAAGTTATACATGTTTATGTAATAATTAGCAGAATGAACAACATGCTACAAAATAAATAAATAAAGCCCACAAAAACTAAAATAAATGCCCGAGAAAAGTGTTGTGTGGAAAAGGTCTCCAAATAAAAGACTTTAAAGTGGAATTAGAGGAAATTTGAGAATTGAAAGACAACCATGAGTTAGCAGTTAAGAATGTGGAACCCAAAGAGCTGCTGTGATATCCATGGAAAAATGAAAAGAAATGTTAAGTTCACTACACTAAACTCACAAAACTCAGAGAATCACTCAAAAAAACTTATTTGTGAAAATAAACAGGAAAGTGTAGATACAGGCATACCTTGTTTTATTGTGTTTTGCTCTATTGTGCTTTGCAGACACTGCTATGTTTACAAATTGAAGGTGTGTGGTAACCCCGTGTTGAGCAAGTCTATTGGTGTCATTTTTCCAACAGCACGTGCTCCCTCTATGTCTGTGTGTCACATTTTGGTAATTCTCACAGTATTTCAAACTTCTTCATAATGCTGTTGCACAGTTAACAGACTACAGTATAGTTTTTTACATGCACTGGAAAACCAAAAGAATTCATAACACAATGCAACCACTACTGCCACAGAGCTGGATCTGACTCATAGCGACCCCTCCTTGGGTTTCCTAGGCAGTATCACTATGGAAGTAGATTGTCTAACCTTCCTTCCGATGAGTGGCTGGTGGGTTTGAACCTTCAGCCTTCTGGTTAGTAGTCAAAAGCCTAGGCACTATGCCACCAGAGCTCCAAAGAATTCATGTAACTCACTTTATTATGATATCCATTTTATTGTGGCAGTCTGGAACTGAACCCATAATATTTCTAAGGTTTGCTTGTAGATAAAAGTCTAGCCTGTGGTAGGATGACATGGCATTTAGTAGGCTAGTAAGAAGGCAATAACTATAATATAATTATATATGTATCTATGTATAATGATAAGGAGCTCTGGTAGCATAAAGGGTAAGGCATTTAGTTGCTAACCACAAGGATGGCAGTTCAAACTGACCAGCTGCTCTATGGGAGGAAGATGAGGCAATCTACTTCCATAAAGATTTACAGACTTGGAAACCCAATGGGGGACACTACGAGTGGGAATCGACCCCATGGCAGTAGGTTTGATTTTTGGATGTATAATCACACATTTGAAGATATACGCACTGTATGTGTGTCTGTGTATGTATGTATATATGTGTATATATATACACATAGCCCCAGGACCAGTGGAAGGCAGGTGTCTGCATGCGTGGAGCAGTCCCTGGGTGCAGGCTGCAGTAAGCCAGATCTGGGAACAGTGGAAGGTGGGTGTTTGCATGCTTGGAACTGTCCCTGGGGCACAGACCACAGTAAGCTAGTCCTGGGATCAACAGACGGTGGGTGTTTGCCCCAGGGCAGACTGGGTAACCAAGCAGGGTGGGGGAGACCAGGAAATGAGCAGAACAGTTTAGAACAGCTAAGAGAGACCAACCTGTCTGTCAGTTTGTCCTACTATCATGGCTTAAGTGTTGCTGTGAAGCTGGAGGCTATGCCACTGGGTTTTAAATACCAGCAGGGTATGGTAGACAGGTTTCAGCAGAACCTCCAAACTAAGACAGACTCAGAAAAAGGAAGAGATTGTCCACTTCTCAAAGAACTGGTCAATGAAAACCTTATGAATAGCAGTGAAATACTATCTGATATATTCCTGGACAACTTTATGAACAGCCCTGAACACTGTGTGATATAGTGCCGGGAGATGAGCCCCTCAGGTCAGAAGGCACTCAAAATATGACCGAAGAAGAGCTGCCTCCTCAGAGAAGAGCTGACCATAATGATGTGGATAGAGTAAAGCTTTCAGGACACCCATTTGCTGATGTAGCAGGTCTCAAGATGAGAAGAAACAGCTGCAAATATCCATTAATAATCAGAACATGGAATGTATGAAGTATGAATCCAGGAAAAGTGGAGGTTGTAAAAAATGAAATGGAATCCATAAAGATTGATGTCCTAGGCATTATTGAGCTGAAATGGACTGTTTTTGGCCATTCTGAATTAGAAGATCAAATAATCTACTACGTCAGGAATGAGAAACTGAAGAAGAATGGTGTGGCATTCATCAGCACAAAGAATTTATCAAGATTTATCCTGAAATCTCAAAACCTACTATACAGCCACAGTAGTCAAAACTGCCTGGTATTGGTTCAATGACAGATACATAGACCAATGGAACAGAATTGAGAACCCAGATATAGATCCATCGACCTATAGTCAGCTGATCTTTGACAAAGGCCCCAAATCCATTAAACGGGGAAGAGAATGTTTGTTTAATAAATGGTGCTGGCAAAACTGGAGATCCATTTGCAGAAAAATGAAATAAGATCTGTACACCACACACAAAAACG